CTTTCATACTCATAAAAGGTCATTAAATTGTAGCTTTATAGACATGCATATCCAATGCATCTCTTGAACTCAAGTTAGGCTAAAATGGTGTAAAATAGGGTCAAGATGTCATACAAGACTTCAAAACTCTATCAAACTCCATCACTTCTAACTACAAAGGGACTCTGGGGATCTATAAATTTGGCAACTTACTGAACTCCAACACTCCAACTAGCCTAAATATGAAGAAAAGGACATGAAAACCTAGATCTAAGCACATAGGATCATAAAAGCATGGAGCTTAAATACTCACAATGGTCCAGAGAGTGTAAGAGAAGATGGTGGTGAGGCTTGCAAGTTGATATGATGTACTAAACTCCTTCTCTTCTTCTTCTTGGCTAGAAATTACCCAAAAAGCACAATAACTTCAAAAAATGAGGCTAGGGTTTCAATGAGGGAGGAAGGGAGGTGATAATTGCTTAGGGTGTGCAAATCCTAGCCATCACATCCCTTAAATAGGGGCATAAACCCCGAAAATTTGGGTTTCTCATTAAATGGTTGCCACGCTTGAACAACCTCTCCCCCTCAGTTGAACCATATCCCAACTTGAAATTCCAACTCATACCGTCGTATATCAGTATAACTCTTTTGTCGGCTCTGTGTTTTCTGCAACCTCTGACTAATTTGCTGAATAAGTTTCGTCGTATGGAGAACCACCTCAGTCCTCCCCATGACCCTATGGACACCTCTCCCTAGCAAACTGGAGTACGAGACTTCTTCTCAAAAAGAAGCTCGTACGGAGGTGCACCAATGTTGGATTGATAGTTGTTATTGTAAGAAAACTTAGCTAAGGGAACATAGTAATCCCAAATCCCACCGAAATTAATAACACAAGCCCTCAACATATCCTCAAGCATCTGAATAGTCTGCTCACTCTGACCATCAGTATAAGGGTAATAAGCAGTGCTGAAGTGCAGTCTCGTACCCAACTCCTCATGAAACCAATGCCAAAACCGAGAAGTAAAACGCACAAGGTCAAATACGATGGACACATGCATACCATGGCGAGCAACGATCTCGCGTACATATACATCGGCCAATTTATCAGTCGAAGAACTCTCCCGAATGACAAGAAAACGGGAACTCTTGCTCAGGCGGTCAACAATAACCAATATGGCATCAAATCACTTGAACTTCCTCGGCAACTTGGTGATGAAATCTGTGGTGATCTATTCCTATTTCCACATGGGAACCTCCAAGGGCTGCAACTTTCCATGTGGTCTCTGGTGTTCGGCCTTGACTGTCCGGCAGGTCAAGCATCTCATAACATACCAAGCTATCTCTCACTTCATGCATGACCAATAGCTAAGTCTCAAGTCTTGATACTCTTTGTGGCTCCAGGGTCAATCAAGAACCTAGAATTATGCCCCTCCTCCATCAATTTCTGTCGGACCCCACCAGAAACTGGGACCCAAACCCGCACACACTAGGTCATAATCCAATGACTATCGGTGGTAAATATGCCAATCTGGCCCCTGATCTTCTCCTTCTTCAAATTATCCCTTCTGATTCCCTTTGCCTAAGCCTCCCTAATTAAATCCAGGAGTTGTGAGTCTATGGTCATCCTCAAACGGGAGTACTTGTCGCCTTCCGGCTCAAAGCTTCGGTGACTACATTGGCCTTCCTTGGATGATATATAATCTCGCAGTCATAAATCTTTGACCACATCAAGCCACATGTGTTGCCTCATGTTCAGGCTCGGCTGATCCATAAGATATCTCAAGATCTCATGCTCCGCATAGATGGTACAAAGAACACTATATAGATAGTGTCACCAAATCTTGAGGGAAAACACCACAACCCCCAACTCCAAGTCGTGTATCGCATACCTGAACTCATGAGGCTTCAGCTGCTTGGATGCATACAAAATGACTTTACCTCACTACATGAGTATCGCCTCCAAACTTGTAATCGAAGCATCACAAAATACCACAAAATCCTCAACACCCTCTAGAAGGTTCAATACCAGTGCCTCACATCACTTTTACCTCAGAGTCTCAAATGCGGCCTGCTGCTAAGGTCCCTAACAAAAATCCACACTCTTCTTCGTCAAGAGAGTCAGGGGAACATAAATCTTGGAAAAATCATGAATGTACCTCTGATACTAACCTGCCAACCCCATAAAAACCCTGATCTCAGATAGGGACTTCGGGACCTCCCACATCATAACTACCTCAATCTTGGCCGAATCAACCAGAATCTCATTCTTATTGATGAGGCGTCCCAATAAATAGACATCTCGTAACCAGAACTTGCACTTGGAGAACTTGCCATCATCACCACAACCTCATAATGTTCATAACGAGTTCAGAACACTGTCTTCTCACTACTAGAAAACAGCCTTTTAATGACACGCAAACCATGACACGCACTAACTTACGATATGAACTTTTTGTGGGTCCTAAAAATACTTTTAGTTTTCCAAAAATTTGAAGGATAGAGGACACACATTTGTGTGTGCCATAAAATTAGTGTCCAACAAAAAAAAATTAAAAACACGGAGGGCACCTATCTTAAACGAATGTCATGCAGAGATCTCGCTTTATAATTATTTGAAACGCCCCTCGACCATTAAAGGATGTGTTTGGCAAAACTAGCTGGTAGCGGGTAGCGGGTAGCGGGTAGCTGGTAGCTGGTAGCAGGTAGCGGGTAGTGGGTAGCGGGTAGCTGGAAGCTGTAGGTTTTATTTGTTATAAGAGTGTTTGGCAGAAGTAGCTGGAAGCTTTTGAAATGTGTAAAATTACATAAAAGGGCACTTGTTTAAATGCAAATTGTGAAACATAATAAATAAATAAAAGATTGTCGAACTAGAATTCTTAAAATTTAGCAACTTTACATAACTATGTTCCATTACAATAATCAAAAGTTATATTGCAACGTAAAAACTATTCATAAAATCATCGACGTCGAGCATTCCATATTAAAGTAGCAATATCATTGCGTATGCGCTTCATATTATTAGATCCTTCGTATAAGTCTTCATTACTAGTGTCGTTACCGCGAACATCACGAGGTTCATCATTTGGTATGCAATCTGGATATAGTTCAACGATATCAAAAACTGTTGCTTGCTCAGCATTACGACGATTGTAGTTATGCAAAGCAAATATAGCCATAATAACGTCAATTTGAGTTTGCACACTAAATTTGGGCATTCTATGGAGTATTTTCCATTGACTCTTCAAGATTCCAAATGATCTTTCAATATAACTTCTCAGTGATGAATGTGAACGGTTGAAAGTTTCTTGCATATTATTTGGAGGCTCATTTTCAAATTGAGATAGATGGTATCTTGTTTTGGAATATGGAACCATATACCCATTTCTATCTGGATACCCTTTATCCACCAAATAATATTTACCTATTGGTGGAGAACAAAAAAATTGAAATGTTACTTATATCATATTAGGGAAATAATAAAGATAATGATAATTTACCTTCAGGTGGTTTTGGGAAGTTCATAGATGGCGTGTTAATCGCATGAAGGAAAACATGCGTGTCATGTGCAGAACCCTCCCATCCAACAAATGCAAAGGTAAAACACATATCAAAATCACAAGTTGCCATTACATTAAATGTCGGTATCCCTTTTCTACCGATATAGCGTAATTGTTGAGTTTCAGGGATACATGCGGCTATATGTGTACCATCAATACATCCAATGCAATCCTAAAATCATTTTTTTAAATGTAATAATAATGATAAGTAATAAGAATGACGTATGGTATTAAAAAATTAAAACAAACATACAAATAGAATACCTTAAAATATGGCATGTATCTTTTATCATTCTTGATTTGCAATGGTATTAATCGAAAGGTTGGATCTTTTGGTCGTATAATGTCACGTGCTAGACCGTTGAAACTTTTTCCTCGGGCAGTTATTGCCTCTAAAACATCATGAAATGCACTTCTAACAGTATATCCTGATCGTTGAAATCGCTCCCCAACATCTCTATTAGACAAACCTAACGCAAGTGTGTATACGAATATTCCCAACTTTTCAACGGTTGACATGTTATCACTCGACTTTAATCCATATTTTAGTTCAAGTTCTTTACAAAGCTTCATGAACACACTTGGATGCATTCTAAATGCGTTAACACATCGAATAGGATTACTATTTAAAATTTCCTTCATCCAAACCTCTCCTGTTTGAGTTGATGTCATACAAGGTACCTTATACATATACTTATAAAAGTGCGTAGAAGCTATGGCAGTTGTAGAGCATGAATTCAATATTAAATGTAAACAATAAAGTTTTTTTCTCCTCTTCTTTCTTTCAATATCCATTGAAGCGTTTGTACCTATTAAAGTTGATTTTTATGAGAATAAAATAAGTAGGAATCTAGTTAAATTTAGACTAAATTTAAAAAATTCATTAAAACACAAGGCATAATAAATCGTAGATGTAGCATTAAAATTTCAAATAGACAAGTATCCAAATGAAAATACCTAATCAAATTAACAAACAAAAAAACAAATTTAATCTAAATAGACAAGTATCCAAATGAAAATGACCTAATTAAATAAACGAAAAAAAGAACAAATTAATCTAAAATGAATCATCAATGATGCCAAACAATTAAATTTAGTTGCCGTCTTTCTTATAATTCAACCATGCCAACCTGCCACTATCATCCAGAAGACTCGTAAATAGTTCCCTCTTCACTGCATCTTCAAATAAACTCATTGCAAAGCACCACAACGCGCTCCCTTTTGTCATTAATCCATCATCGACCATTTGGTTAATCAAGTTTACAACTGCATTTATACTAAAATCATGGGTATGGGTAAAAAGAAGGGGAATCTGACTCTAATATTGCTAAAGCACGTTTTTGAATAACATTTTGTTCGGTTAGAAGCTCCTGTAACTTTATAGATCCAGCGGATGCTCTTTTTTTACGTTTCATTTCTACAGGTTTCAGTTTAGAACTTTCTTTGGAACTCTTTTCGGCTTGATTAGACCCCCGTATTGTTCGGTGAGAAGACATCTCTTGCATAATGCATCAAATCTGAATAGTAGCCACCATCTTCATTTCCTAAGTCCAAATGAGAAGAGTGTTGAGGGTATTGTGAAGCGAAGAAAGTATCATCACCCGTTTCAACATTATCACCCGTCGCCGGATTTTCATCATTAATATTAACAATAAGTATGTCATTTAAAGTAGTATGATCCATGGACGGTGCCACACAGTTTATACCACTGGCAACTGCATCCCCGAATATTTGCTCCCATGCAAGTTGTAGTTCTAAAGAAGGTTGTTTTTTTCGAATGGCTTTAACATATGGGTTTTCCTACATGATATAATATTTCACTATTAGTATTCAAGACAACTCTAAAGTTTATGGTAATAAAAATGATTTAAACTTACTACCTTAATTTTTCGATCCCACCATTCATCAGAACAATCTAGTTGCCCTGTACTTTCGTTCCAACCTAAACCCGTTTCCCCGTTTTTTAAGGACTTCAACAGATTATAGTCTTTTCGCATTCCGTCGTATTTGTTCTTTAAAGCTTTGTAGTTGTTTAGCTTAGTAGCAGCCTCTTTTTCAAAAATCGGTTGAAGATCTTGCCATTTAATTGGCTGAGTACGTCCATATTTTATAATATATTTTTTTTAAGATATCACATAGAATCATAACAGACTTCTCAGGCCAATCAAACTTTTTTTTTCGCATTTTCATTGTTGGAGGCCACGTATGTACCTAAAGTTGAATTAAATCCACATATACCTGAAATTTATAAACATATATAATGCAGACCAACAACACAAAAACAAACAAAGTGTATAGAGCTTAAAGCACAAATACACACACCTTTACAATCATAAAATGTGTTACTATTCCTACAGAAGAATTGTCAGACATGTTATTTTGTAAACTATTTTCATAAACCACTAAAAGATCATAAAGTAAATATGTTTTAGTTTATTTAATACTAACTAATTTTGTATGTAAAAGCATATAGCACAAAAAGTAAGCATTCTATTTATTTTAAGCCACAAAACACATGTGTAATTTACAAATCTTGTCCATCAGTAATTTGTTACTACATTCATTAAGCACCACTTATTTATATGAATATGACCGCTAGTAAGTTTTGGATAGAAAAACTCAACAAATATCTAAGCAAACATAAAAAGTTAAGGTAAAATCCATGGTAAAACTTATAGAAACATATAATGCTATCCATTTTTCCTATAGAATAACAGTAAAGACTGTACAATAAAGAGCCTATGTGAAGGTAACATGAGAAAACAAGGACAAAAGTTGCAGTCCTTCGCGTGGTTAAAATAAGAAAAGGTTGTCAATCAATTACATAGTCAAAGCCTAAAAGATTTTTTTCTTAAAAAGATAAGCATGGTTCTTATTTTATTTTAGAGAAATACAAAGAATGCGACACTATAAACGAAAGTCTAAAAATTATATGAAGGTGAGATTGATGTGTTTTGCTGCAATTCATGATGTATGATGAAATCTTAATGAATACCCAAGTGGTAAAATAACATATACAGATGCATGGAGGGTACGATTCAGAGTTTTCGGAGAGAGAATCGTGCCTCGTCTGTGGTTTGCACGCTATGCTGCTGATCCACCCGGCACCGCTCTTCTCTGCCCTAGTTTGTTCGCCTCCACCTTCGGGACTTTATGTTTCTCTTCTCCCTCGTATATTTGTCTTGATGATTGTATTTTATTCTTGATTCTACACATTCTATGGCAGCTAGATGCGATTTTAACCTGTGTAGTTTTGAAGTAAATACAAGATTCGAGGTTGGTTCTGTATTATGGTTTTTGTATATTGGCTTGTCTGTGCTTTCACTGCTGATTGAAAATCATGAGATGCGTTTCTTTCTTATTGATGGGAGAAATTTATAGTTCTCAACCATTTTGCCCTTGGGTCTTAGTTTTCTTGGTGTAGTTCAGCTAGTCGGGATGCTTGTTATACATGCTTCATTCTATTTTTCCGGTGGTTTGAGTTTATTTATTACTATTTATCTGCTGGAGTGGTTGTTTCAAGCACAAAAGTCATTAGGGGAGTTAACTTTGTTCTCGTTTAGACCATTTTCCTTAGGCATTGTTCAGGTGTATTGTATTTGTTCATGACATTCTGTATGTTGGTATCTGTAATTATGTATTTGGCTTTTAATCTGGAAATAAATGGTTGATATTCTAGGGAGTCAAAGTTTTAAGGTGGGGGCGGTTGTGTTTCTTTAACTCCTGTTGCTCATGTTATGTTGTTCCTTCTCTTGAAACTACAAGGCTATTTTTGGTTTGTTTCGGAATGTTAATTTCTATTGTTGGTGACTTCCTTTAGAGTTCACAGCCAAGACACATACTCTGCTATGTTTTGTTCTTCTTCTTTCTTCTTGTCATGTTATTTTATTGTGTTTCGGTGTAGCATTCTAGTCTAATACAGTTTGTTGGTCCCCCGTTTCCATATGTTGAATTGGCCATTTTTCTGCTTCCAATGGCTTGTAGACTTGCAGATTTTAGTTTCCTTTTGAAGGTAACATGCATTCCGTCAATCTTTGAAGTTGAATTTGTTCATTTTAGACGCTGTTTGATGTTGAATTTTTTCACTTTAGACACTTTTTGAAATTCCTTGGTTAATTTTGATTGTAGGGTCCCCAACAAAAGCGAATTCATGGACATAGATTTGTGTCAATGTATCCAACAGGTATGAATCCTTATTCTCGTGGTGTAATTTGGAGATTTGGGGTTTTATCTTCTCAATGCATTAGTAAAAAGACACGGTCTTAAATAGTTAAGCATTTAAGTCAGTTCATTAGAATTGATGATTTTTCCCAATATCAGGTTGTGATGGCTTTCTGGTTATAGATATGTAAACCTCCATGTGGTAAACAGACCTATATATTGCTTCGTTGATGTCAAACATAGTCGATGAATGATGATATTCAATGGTGTCCATATAGTAGAGTGTTATCTAGACCTGCAAAACCAGAATCCCTAATGGGGTTAGGGCCTTCAGACACCAATTAAAAGATATTACAAGTAAGAAGAAAGAGAAGTAGCTAATTAGTAATTACTATGAAACGTGTTAAAGGTGATAGTGGTGTTTTATGCATGTTTACTTGTTTTGAGGCTGCAAAGGGGTGAATTTGGTTAAAAGATCATGAAACCTTGCTTCAATCTATAACAATAAAATTATAGAAATGTATGAAATCCATGAATTAGAAAACACACTATTTTATTTTTAACCTTTTGATGGTCATATATTTATACCAAGTTATTCTTCAGTTTTCAAGTTAATTACAAGAAAAATGAATTTATCTACTATACTGCTCTTTTTCCTTTTTCTTTACTGTTAGTTTTTTCAATTTTATCCATCTCTCTTTTTTCAACCATGGTGTTTCGTTTTACTTTTTAATTCGTTCTTTCAAATTTTGTTTGTTCAATAGTTAGTATATGAGTATATCTTTAAATACTTCCTATGCTTTCTTTTTAGTTATTTTTAAGACATACAATAATTATTAGGCATCATATTATAGAGAAATTTATTAGTGAATAGTATATAATTATATATAGTTAACGAAGTAATGTAATTTCTTACAATACTTGCTTGCTTAGACAGGCACATCTCTTTTAAAGTGGGAAGCTCTACCACAACACAAACCCATAACTCAAAAATATGTAATTCCTTTACGAAGGGGTAAAATAGTCAAAGCAGTAGCCAGTCCTATCACACCACCATTACCCGCAGACAGTGCAGAAAGAAGACAAGAATTATGCGAAAATTACGGTTTTAGACAAATTGGAGAACCACTTCCAGATAATATCACATTGAGGAACATCATCGATACTCTTCCCAAAACCGCATTACACTCTTACGTATTAATTTTTATCCTTTTTTTTTATTCAAACATATTCATATTTAATACTTTCTATTTTTTTCTCAAAAGGTATTTGAAATTGATACCATGAAAGAATGGAAATTCGTTTTGATATCTACCACTTCATATGCATTAGGGCTTTTCATGATTGCCAAATCCCCATGGTATCTTCTTCCATTAGCTTGCGCATGGACAGGAACTGCAGTTACAGGGGTAAAATCGTAAATAAAGTTACTTTGTTTTTTTCTCTTCGATAATTAATCCTTCAAATACATATTTTTAATATATATTTTTTGTTTTATTTGTGCTTTCAAGGTCTTTTAGTTGTTTTTCTGGTCAAAATGAAGAAGATATAGAGAGATTGGTGCTGATTTGATGCTATTTAAATATGATTAGGCCGTTCAGATATTTTTTGGACAAACTTTCCCCTGTTGCTGGTGGGTTTACCAAAATACCCTCCATACGAAAGTTTTATAAGTGCTTTAAGTCCTTAGTACAATCTACTGCATGTAGATAGACAATTTACCCCTGTTGATAGTGGTTTTACCAAAAGAAACTACTTTGCATGATCCACAGGTAGATGGACAGACATATATTTGAAGTTGTTTTCCAGTGCAACTAAAAGTTAAAACATTTTTGTTCATAGGTCTTTCTTAATATTTACCATATCGTCTTTTATCAAGTTTTTATAATATTTAACATTCCTATTAGGTTAGTTTAATTTTACTCCATCAATGATTACTAAAAAACTAAATTTAATATATTTAACACCATGTTATTCAAGTTCTTTGAGTATGTAGCATATTTTTTTTAGTTTTAAAAGGGAGGTGCCTGAGAGTAATTTCTTGCCTTTTCAGGGTATAATGATCCATCAAAACCAAATCTCCCTCGATTGCATGAGTGACATTTCAGATGTGGGCTTGATCGCTATATATGGATCATTGGAATGATATATGCATATCTTCATCCTAATGTAAGCTTTTAAAAGTTTGGCCAAATGTAAGAAATAGCAACCTACTTTCATTTCTTTGTTTATTATAGAATGATATAATAAATAGATAAATGAAAGTACATTGCTATTTCTTGTATTTAACCGTTGAAGTTATATAAACTCAGGTTGAAAAGTGGATGGAAAAACTTGAGGAGTCTGATAATAAGCAGAGACATTCTGTTAAAGCAACCATCATTTCAGTGTGTTTTTGGTTAGTATAAATCCTTTTAAATTTTTTTCTTATAAAAGGTTATGTGGGGTTATATTAATTATATTAACTTATTTTCAGTCTGGATATATGTGCTATGAATACATATACAAATTGGACAAGGTTACATACAACAAATATCATTCATACACATCATGGATACCTATAACGTGTATGATTGATTCCTTCTTTGATTACTTACATATATTTTAAGGCTAAATACAAGGCTAAAATAGTCATTTCATTTGCTTGTAGTGTGTACATTTTCTTGTGAAATTTCAGTCAACATCTTAGGAATTTCTCATTAACCCTCTTTGCGTATGCTTCCCTTACCTATCACTATTTTAATTCTACAAATTATGAATATATCAATATTTGCTTTTTTTAAATTAAAATGTACAATTTCTATGTTTTAATAGATGGCTTGGTAAGATCACATTGGAGCCGTATATATCCCAATTCCATATCTGGCTAAGGTGTATATTAGTATTTTCTCGTACTCCATTGAGTCCTAAGTTTACAAATTTGCCCTCATTTATTTATTTTATTATGTTTCCCAATAACAATAACCAACATAAATAATGCAGATCAGATATTCCTAATGGACAACCAAAGTGGCTTCTATCTTTCATCCCAAATTATCCTATGCTCGATTATATGCTTACAACTGCAGTATATGTTTTGGTGAGCAAATTTATTATTATTCTTCATAATCTTTTCTTTAATTTCATCTTATGATATAATAAATTAAATCTGTTATTTTTCACTTTATGCAGATATCTTGCAGGCTTTTTGAATTAACAAACACACTAAAATCAGTTTTTATACCAACCAAAAATGATCGAAAAACTTCTCTCTAATTTTCTTACTGGAGCTTCAGTTTCCGCGTGTTTATAAAAATGACTTGTAAGTTGATTTCCCAATTTTAGGTCTCTATGACTTTGCTTTTGACAAAAATCAAGTTGGCCAACTAATGATTTTGACTGATTATTACATGTTCGTTTTTAAGATACATTAACTTAGGTTTATTGATATTAATACTTCTAATTACTCCTTTGTTAAAAGTTCAAATTATATCCGATCATGTTAATCAATGTTCAAATCGTTTAGGTATTGGCAAGAAACCCTAATTGTCCACATTTCACTGGAGCTACACAAAAGGAGACCTCGAATATCCGGTTCTAGTCTTTTTTCCTTCTTAATGCCTTAGGCATTTTGAAAATTCAGAACACATAAATATTATAGCATATGCAATCGGTCCTATACCCGAAGTATATGAGATACGATTCATAATGTCTTGCATAAAGACATGATACTTTACCAGTCTATTGCTATAATAATTCTATATATAGAATTTCCTTATTTGAACCATTCCAACATAACATTCATATATATCCTTGACTAAAATTGATTAAAATCTCACAATCTAAGCTTTTAGATTTGAAATGAAGTATGCGTTCCTCTCCCTCAATAATAGTAAAACAACTTTTCAAACTCTGCAACTTTGCGAATTGAAAATTTTGTTTTCTATAATTAACATGGCTAACTTGCAACACTTACCATAATAATTATGCTCCCACTAGCATAACAATTATTTGTTTAATAGCATAACACTTATACTCCCACTAGCTTTGACATGTACCCAGAAATAAGCTGGACTTCTAGAAATCAATACTTGTTGACTTTCTTACCAAAGTTCATATTTCTGATACAAGATGCTTCCATAAGACTTTATGTAGGCTTCTCAAACTCATACACCTTTCCTTAGACTTTATGTAGGCGATCAGACTCGGCATACTCTTCCTTTAAGCTTCCTTTGATTCTACAAAACATCAGAATGTAATATCATCACATCATGTATTAAGAATCTACAAATAAGAACTTAATAGAGTTAGATAGTGGACTTACCTGAAACAGAGTCAAACATTTTGACTTACCATCCTTGTGGTCCTTCAGGTAGATACGACAGCTTCGCAACCAATGCTCTTTTTCTTGGCAATAGAAGAAAAACAAACTCTCTTGGAATGGTACATGGGACAATCTCAGACTTAGCATTTCTCTTTACCATTTGGTCAAACGACTTGACCATGGTCGATCCCTTTCCATTTGGGAAGAGAGCTTTTCTGGACTTCAAATGTTTCCATTGTCAGTGTCCATGGAAGTTTGGGAAGTAGATCTTCCAACCAAATTTGTTTACCAGTACGCCAAATCATTGCTGATTCAGTAGCAACAAACACATATGTTAGATTAATAAGGGTAATGTCGTGATCTCCCATATAGTAGTCCTTAAAGAACCCGCTATATGACTTAGGAAGTGATTGAAGAACCAAGTCAACAGCCAACTTCCTTGAAACAACGACACCCAACATTCCCAGCCTGTTTAACTGTGACTTCATCTCCAAAACATGTGCACACACAAACCTTCCATCTTGGTGTTTGCTAGCCAATAGGGCTAGAGTGACCTTGAACTTTTCAAGTCTTTGAAGTTGTGGGTCAGGGAAAATTATTTTAGGAGGTGGAGGAAGAGAAGTTCCACTACAGCACGAAGAAGGGATTAATCTTTCATCTCAATCGTCTTGTGGAAATATCATCTTTATAAGGAAATTTATATTCAAAATATTCGGGAAGACCATAGTTGTCAGAACTAGACATCTACTAGGGAGAAATTCAAGTTGGTTGATTTAAGTCTTTAATATAACACCCAAATGAAATATTAAGGTTAGGACCCAACACAATATTTTACAAATCGGAAGAGGGATGCCGTAATCCAATTGCAAAATATTTGAAGGTAGGTAAATGACGGTTTACCAATTTATACCATGAAAAACGAAATTGATTATTAGGTTTTAAATGAATTGAAAATTTGTAGATCTTTTGAGATTCATTGAACTTTTCAATGGCATATTTAATCTCGATTATGCCCTTCAAGTTTGAGACTGTGATACCGAGAATCATAAACAAGGTGTGAATAACCATGCAAATTAGCTTGGTACTCTCGATGTCATTTATCACGTAATCAATGTGCCAGTTAATCACACACATTTCATTGAATAACCATACTTTTAATGAGGGTTTAGTGTCCTATCCTACCCGTTCGGCTAACGACCCTCCAGCAGTCAAGGAAACGGTGGGTGAGAGTGGACACCCATTAAACCACCATTTTATAGGCAGTAACCTTATACCCCCCTTATAGACTGACTTTGTGAATGAGGCCTTTTAACGGTAAGACTGATTTTTAACTTCTACATATATAATATATTAAACTTTTAATTTTATATAGTATAAGCGTGTATTTTAAACTTTTAAATACTTGATGGTTTAAATAATAAATTATACTCTTAATTTAATTAAACTTAAACCATGTTATTATTATGGATTTATTAATCTTCTCTTTTAATTAAACACTTTAATTAATTTAATACAATCCATAAGAGTTAACTTGAAGTATTAAAAAAACATTAAGGTTCTAAACATAAAATACAAAAATTAAAACTATTTAATTAATTTTAAGTTATAAACCTAAGAGTTGCACCTTTTAATTACAAGAGTTTTAGAAATCAATGTTTCATAATTTGAGACTTTTCAAATAACAAAACTTGAGTACAATTTTGTAACTCTTGAAAACCTTTTGAGTTCCAAACTTGATGACAAGATTTGTAACTCCATAAAAAACTTTTGAGTTCCAAAACTTAATAGCAAGTTTTGTAACTCCTAAAAACAATTAGATCAAATTTTAAAACCAATAAACTAATCATAATTTATCTTTTAAAGTTTTGACTTAATGCAACTTTTAAAGCAAGATAACTTCAAATCAAAATATTACAAACATCTAGCTTATTATATAAACTAGTAATAATTTTAAGATTTGACAATTTATAAACTAGATAAAGTCTTATCGAAGTAGTTTGTATCAGAAATCTGAACTTTGGTAAGAAAGTCAATAAGTATTGATTTCTAGAAGCCCAACTTATTTCTGAGTACATGTCAAAGCTATTGGGAGCATAAATGTTATGCTTTTAAGGAAATAATTGCTAGTGGGAGCATAATCATTATGGTAAGTGTTGCAAGTTAGCAATGTTAATTATAGAAAACAAAAGTTTCAATTTACAAAATTGCAGAGTTTGAAAAGTTATTTTGCTATAATTAAGGGAGAGGAATTCATACTTTATTTCAAATCTAAAAGCTTAGATTGTGAAATTTTAATTAAATTTAGTCAATGATATATATATATATATATATATATATATATATATATATATATATATATATATATATATATATATATATGAATTTTATGTTGGAATGGTTCAACATAAGGAAATTCTATATATGGAAATGTTATAACAAGAGACTGGTAAAGTATCAGGTCTGTATGTAAGACATTATGAATCGTGTCCCATATGCTCCAGATATAGGATCGATTGCATTTGCTATAATATTTTCCTGTTCTAATTTTTCAAATGCCTAGGGCATTAAGAGGGAAAAAGGACTAGAACCGGATATGACTAAAGTTATTAAACAACTGTCAAGGACGATCTGAGGTTTACCAATGATTAGTTGCTTGTGGATAGTTGGAAGTATAGGAATGGATGAACCATATTGATATAATTCTAAATAGATAAGATTCTATTAAGAATGGATAGTCATATTACAATTATGGAAATGTTTCCATAATGGGAGTTGGATATCAAGAATCTATGAGTAAGTTAGAAACTTTTATGCAAGAAGGATGTTCAAATGAATGTGTTTTGAATATGAGACTTCGTATCTATGGAATTGTCTTGTAACAATCTCCAATGGAAAGTTTTGTAATTGACATAGTCTCTGTGACTTGTGTACATAGTCATTACAAACGGATCATTGCATATAAGCTTAGAATATAACAGATTACAGTAAGTGGCAATGACTTGGTATTCTCACACTTACGATAAGGATTTAGAATTGTGAAATGAGTGTCATTGGAAATGTTTACAATTGATCTATTTTACAAAGTGAGGACCATAGGTAAACATAGTGTTCATGCTTGGAGCATGGGAAGACTATTGTTTCAATTCAAGTATTAAGTTGATTAATCGAAACATTATACAATGAATAATGTGTAATCAATATGGTAATTAAATAAAATGTGTTGTATTTATATTCAAAAGTTTTGAGACCATATTGGATTCGATTATTCTTGTGTTTCACTTTGCATATTTTGACTTTCCAAATAACTAGGTTATTCAAACATCCACAATCAATCGTACTTTGGAAGTAGGTATTGAGGTAAGACTGTCATGAATCTGTCTGTAGATTGTCTAAAGCGTTAGACATAGCACAAGTTCGCTGCAGTATTCATGAGTATTCATGTAATAAGATTTGAGTATTAGATTAAACTCATGCTCATTTGAATCACTTCATGGATTTTATTACGAGTGATCATGAGACGATAATATCTTATATTCTTGAAACGAAGAAATATGAGTTGCAGTTTACAAGTCGGTTGCACATTGACATATGTAAATGCACCAGTAACTTGGTGTTATAAAACATATTGTGTGTGATTTGATGAGTAAATAGAGCAAGCATATGAGTTGAAGTTTATCCGTTCCTTTTACCCTAAGAGGGATAACAACGATATATGTGGGCCCCTTGATGATTTAGTGATGACAACCCTAAGCATTTAGCCAAGCCTGGACTGATTTGATTTGTTCAATTAGTCGATCATCATAAATCGAAAATCGGGAAACAACACATGAACAGAGAGAATGATTATAATACATGTCTTAGTTCGTACGATATCTAGAATGGAGGAATATATGATCCCTTATCTAATGGACGCGTCATTGACTAGGTCAAAGTTCGACAACGGCTTTTGAGAGCTACGATTGCTAGTCGGGTTCTGAAGTCGTACATGCAATTATAGTTA